AGGTATCGATGATGTTAGATACCTTGGATAAAATGAATAAGTTATTAGGGTCAAAATATCGTTTAAGTGGAAAAGGTTTATACGTGCAAAATGAAAATCCAACCCTTCTGGCGATCGAGGATCTCGTGCCTCTCGGCTTTCGCATGGTCGACCTGTCTGGTCTCGACTTAGCTCATTCCATATTGGCACTTCGCGGAGTAGCCAGGTTTCATGCAGCCTCAGTAGCCATATGTGAAAAGGTATGTCATCTTGTCTCGATTGAATTGTCTTATTGCAATTATTAAAAATTCAAATCAACCCAAGGAACAAATATTCGTGATAATAAGCTCTTAATGTCAAACATAATAAATATGAATATCATACAGTGGAATATCATACTTTGATTTCATAGCGTGAACATCGCATTGGTTCGAGATTGTTCTCTTACTATATGTATATGATTCAACATACCTGTTAAAAACATGATACGCAGAATTTGGAAATGTTCTAAAGTTTTATATTAACAGACAATTTGATGTGACAAAATCTTTACAATTTTAACCACTCGATCCGCTACTCTGTTAAGAGATAATTTTTAGTAAAACACGTAAAGTAGTTGAATGTATAATGTGCTTAACACAATTTATATCCATTATATGTATCTTATATAGAAGTTATTTAATTTAGTCTAATTGATGTTAAATACACATATTTATTTTATTTTATATATAGGTATATATATAAAATTAAGATTACATAAAAAAATATTGTGCCTAATGATTATATAAGCAACTAAATTCATTCAAGATAAATATCGTAAATCAGAGTATTTATTATAAGAACAGATATGTATTGTGTATTTCCAGTTTGTTACAAATAAATATCTTTACATTAACAAAATTATAATTTGAAATTAATGAAATAATTTAATTATTTAAATTTAAAATAAAATCATTAGTGTTGAGTTTTTCCGTTTTTGTGTAGCCTTTATCTTGTATATGATATTCTAAATTGTCAGTCCGCAGTACAAACTTATTATTAGTTAATACTTAACCATATTAATACTTAACTATATGTTTAATCAAATAAACGTCCTTGAATGAAGATATAATATTTTAGGAACCCAAGCAAAAGGAGATGTATACGAGAGGATTATTTAACAATGAGAATCCATTAGAAGAAAAAAATTTTTTTATTGAGGGTACTAAAGCTTTATCAGAGGAAATTATAAACTGGCCAGAAGTAAAAAAGTAAGTTTTGTTCATAGTATAAACGACATTTCTTGTTCTACTCTGTTTAAAAAAATATCATTTAATATAACACAATTAGACATATTAAATGTGAAGAGACTAAACATATTAGACAGAAAATAACAAATACAAATTGCGCTGTTTAAAATAAACATTTATATGATTATTATCTGTACAAATTTATGTTTATATGACTTTTATTGCTAGATATTCGGAAAAGATTGCTAAGCTCTCCGATCACATGTATCAAATAGCAGTAGATGCAACCAAGCTCTCTGAGAATGAATTTAATGTTATTAATCACGGCGATCTTCACTTGAAAAATATGCTGTTTAAATATGACAATCCTAATGATGGCAGTCCTACTGATCAGATTTTTGTAAGTACGTTATAACATCACGTACCATCACTATAAAAAAAAAACTTCTTTTCCGGTGCACAGATTTAATTTCCAATTTAATTTTCGGAGGTTCAAAAAATCGATAAGTTAAGCATGTTTGTTTGATATTACAGGTGGACTTTCAATCATCCGTCTACACTTCACCAGCACTCGATCTTCTATATTTTCTCCATTCAAGTGTTTCCTTTGATGTGATTGAAAACGAGAGAGATGTTTTATTAAACGAATACCTTGACACCTTGTCAACGACTATGAAACAATTGAACTGCAAGACGCAACCGCCCACAATGAAGGAATTAAAGGATACCATAAAGCGAAGAGCTAGTTTTGAAATGGTATCATCTTTCACGGTTTTACCGTTAATGCTGTGCCCTAAGACTGAAGCGAAAGATTTTGATGAGATGATGACCACTGGTACTTGGATTAATCCAGGCTTAAAAAGCAAAGATTTTAAAAAATTTATGATAAAGAATATTCCACTGTATGATGA